CCCACTATCTAATACAAAGGACCAATTGAGAGCACGGAGGGGAGAGCAAAGAGTGGAGAACAAGGAAGGCTGGGGCGGCTGAGAGAATGATGGCGATGAGGAGAGACTTGGAGAGAGAGAGCAGGTTCTGCAGCCACGTACCGGCTTCCATGCACCCCGGCTCATTCTCTCACCGGCTCATTCTCGTGGTTAAGCATTTTAGTTCTGAGATGTCTCGAACAAAACTACTTAGCCACAGCTCATTCGTTCACACGCACTCGCTCACTCACACACACACACGCACTCGCTCGCCCACTCTTCCAATGCCTCTCACTCACTCACTCTCACTCACTCACTCTCACACTTACCACAGCAGTTGATAAGAGTAAGCAGCACCACGCACCCCCCTCCCACCACCATCACCATCACTTCCATCTCCGCCTCCCCTCCTGCTGCCGCTCCTGGTAACTGGAGTTGGAACAGGGAGAGAGCAAGACGAGAAGAGTGGGGAGGGGCATGCTGTGCTGGTAACTGGAGTTGGAAGAAACAAATGAAAAAAAAACCAACAAAAAACGGACCACTGCAATCATGCTTTATCCATGTAAGCACCTTTTCCTTCTTAATATATATATATATCTATGTAAATCGTATTCCCCACACCACACTATTGCAGCAGCACCCCACCCCCATTCCCTTCTCACCAGGGTGGTGACAGCATATTGTGCAAATGTGACAATACAACGAGGATGGAGGGATCTCCCTCTTTCGATGCCTCAAGTCACCATTCAACCGCAACCTAAGCTCCACCCTCCTTTGCTCACCAGTGCCACAGCGTATTGAGCGAGCGTGACAACGAGGATTGACATCGTACCAAACCCTCATCACTAGCTCATTGCCTCCATCCTCCCCTCACCATTCCTTCCCTCTCCATCATCCCCTCACCACCATCACCATCCTCCCCTCACCAATGCCACAGCGTATCGTGCAAACGTGACGACTAAGATCGACAGGGCTCCGCCAGTAGAGACAAAAAAGAACATCCACATGAAGACAAACGAAGCGAGCTCTCCAAAGGCCACCTGGCGAAGATGGAATGGGCGCGGGAAACGACGGGCATGGTTGTTAAAGGGAAACTAAGTTAAATGGGCGCGGGTAGAACGCAGTTGCAGGGAAACTAAATTAAAGGTGATACAAGTGAGGGTGATTGTTGAGTCGACTAGAGAATCACCTTCCATATACTAACAAGAAAGGGGTACGGATATTTCGGGCTGGCCTGGTGTCTGGACTGGCTTTGCCGTGCTCTAGGTCGAGCAGAAGTGCAAGGGTTACTTCTTTAAGTGAACTTAATAGTGTAAGGTTTACTGTACCTGTAGGTATTCCCCATCGCCTCCTGCATGGGGGATGAAACTCCCGAGCTCCGCATACACCTGATGGCACACAGATGGGTTGAGGTTTGAATGGAAGAGAATGGAGTGAGACAATGTGTAATGAGGCGCATTGTGAGACCCCCAAAGCTCCCAAGCTCCACATACACCTGATGGCATGGTACGATGGCATGGCATGATGGCATGGCATGATGGCATGGGATGGATGGCATGGGTTGTTTGAAATAGTCTGGAGAATGGCATGGCACGGCATGATTGAATTGAAATGGTGTAGTGGCTCGAGTTATAGGTTTAGTGAGTCGATTTAGAGGGTGTAGTCACCCTCTTTGCATGGTGGAAAGCAGTCACACCCTCGATTTTGAGGGTGTAATGATCCCATACGTCTCCTTTACACAAAATAATCTCCTAGCCCTCCTTTTCAGCCTCACCTCACTGCAAGCACATCCCAAGATTCCAGTCACCAGCCACAGCAACACCTGCAGCGGCGAGCTGTGACCCCCCCTCACCCTCCCATCCTTGAGACCCCTTCTTCCCCTCTCCTCCCCCTTCTTTCCCCTCTCCTCCCCCTTCTTTCCCCTCTCCTCCCCCTTCTTTTCCCTCTCCTCCCCCTTCTTTCCCTCTCCTCCCCCTTCTTTCCCTCTCCTCCCCCTTCTTTCCCTCTCCTCCCCCTTCCCGCCCCCCCCCTTCCATGACTCACCTCACAGCAAGCACATGCCACAATCCCCGGCACCAGTGAGCAATCCACGTCAGCAGCAGTGAGCAGTTGATTGACCCTCTTACCCTCCCCATCCTTGTGACCCGCCTCTTCCTCCCTCCCCCCCCTCCCTCCCACACGAACAACCCCTTCCAACCTCGCAACATGCATACCCCTGAGTACAGCCACCAGCCACAGCAGCAGAGCCAGAAGCAGTGAGCTGTAACCGCCCTCACCCTCCCCATCCTTGATCCCCGCCTCCCCCCCACCGTCCCTCGGACACTCCTTCCCCCTGCCTCACCTCGCAGCACGCATACTCCACTATCCTAGCCCCAAGCCACAGCAGCAGCGCCAGCAGGGGCGAACCATCAGCGTTTCAACTCCACCACCCTTACCTCATTCTCCTCCCTCCCCCCCCTCCCTCGCCCTTCTCACCTCGCAGCACGCATACCCCACTATCCCCGCCACCAGCCACAGCAGCAGCGCCAGCAGCGGTGAGCCATTGGAGTCCAGCAGCACAACGCCGGGCGTGGCGAATATGCCGCTGCCCACCACCACGCCCAGCAGCATGCTGCATTGAGAGGGGGAACAGGGGAGAACAGGGGGAGAAGCATGGGTGTCCACACACCATCCAGCAGCACAATGCCTGGCGTGGCGAATATGCCGCTGCCCACCACCACGCCCAGCAGCATGCTGTGGGAAGGAGGGGAGAGGGGGGTTCGCACGTGCGACATGAGAAGTGCTCTGAGACGTGTGCAGCAGCACAACGCGGGGCGTGGCGAATATGCCCCTGCCCACGGCCACCCCGAGGACCATGCCACGTAGGAGAGGTATAAACAGAGGCGTGGAGAAACTTAGGTGTTCACACCCCCCCTTCAGCAGCACAACACCAGGCGTAGCGAATATGCCGCTGCCCACCACCACCACGCCCAGCACCATGCTGGTGAAGAGGTATCCTATCTGAGAGTGAAAATGTCTTTGGACCCGTCAACGCTTCAAATCTTTGGGGGCATTTTTGAGGCGCATAAAAAACTGGTGAAGAGGTGTCCAAGAGTGAAATGGTATGACTTAGGACCCATCAAAGCTTCAAAACTTTGAGGGTTACACCAAGCTGCCTTGAACCAAACCAAGTCACGGACCTACCTTCACATTGCATGTATTGTCGCACGTATTGTCACATGTACTGTCGCAAGTATTGTCGCATGTATTGTCGCACGTATTGTCGCACGTAGTGTCACATGTATTGTCGCATGTATTGTCGCTCGCACGTATTGTCGCATGTACTGTCGCATGTACTGTCGCATGTATTGTTGCATTGGACGTCCAATGAACCGCACCTGATCCCGTCAACCACGGTAAGCGATCATTGGAACCCTGAGCGCGGCGAGTCCTGAGGTGTCTGAAAACTAAGTCGTGACCTACTTTCACATCACACTTACACCACATCACACCTACACCACATCACACCTACCGTCACATTACGCTTCGCTGCGTCGCACCTGAGCTTGTCGGCCACGGAGAGCTTCCTCCGTTTCAGCGCCGCGCGCGGCGTGTGCCGCTGAGGTGCCACCGCAAAGCAAGTCACGGACCTACCTTCACACTTCACGCGATTGAACCGCACTATATATCCAGTGAACCGCACCTGATCCCTTCGACCACGTTGAGCGACCGTTTCAGCCCCGTGCGCGGCGAGTGCTGAGGTGGCATGACCAACTTTCATAGGACACCTACTACACGCCAACTTGCACCTACTTTCACACGATGCCTACCCTCGTCACCTCACATCGATTTTTGAGGCGCCTCAAAATTTGTCATGACCTACTTTCATATACACCTGCACGTCAACTTGCACCCACTTTCACACGATGCCTACCGTCACCTCACATCAACGTCGCATCACATCGACGTCGCATCACATCGACGTCGCATCACATCAACGTCGCATCACATCGACGTCGCATCACACCGACGTCGCATCACATCGACGTCGCATCACATCGACGTCGCATCACACCGACGTCGCATCACACCAACGTCGCATCACACCAACGTCGCATCACACCAAGGTCACATTACGCGTCAGCGCGTCGCATCTGATCCCGTCGACCACGATGAGCGACCGTTTCAGCCCCGCGCGTGGCGAGTGCGGCCCGACGATCTCATCCTCATCCGACCGGGGGATAATCCTCTCTATTCCCCGCGTCGCCTTTTGGATCGACTCGAAAGCAGACGATCGCATCCTCATCCGAGGGGGGGTAACCCTCTCTCTTCCCCGCGGCAGTATAGCCCTCGCCCTTCACATATCACAGGTCAGTACCTGACACCGTCGACCACGGTGAGCGACCGTTTCAGCCCCGCGCGCGGGGAGTTCGGTCCGACCAAGTCACGGACCTACCTTCACGCTGCACGCAATTGTCGCATCAAGCATTTCAATGCACCGCACCTGATACCGTCGACCACGGTGAGTGACCGTTTCAGCCCCGCACGCGGGGAGTGCGGCCCGACGATCTCATCCTCATCCGACGGTGGATAATCCTCTCTATTCCCCGCGTCGCCTGCGTCGCAATTAAGATCACCTACGCCACTCGGCGCCGCAAGACGCGGCAGACAGGAAGAACTTGGCGCGATGCCATTGGTCGACGAGGTAGTAATGACGGAGGGTTTTCCGGCGGGTTGAATAAGCGGCACGCGTACTTCAGAATACTGTTCAGGTTCGCCGCGGGAATTACGACCTGACGCCATGGCTCGACGTATGGCTTCTAAAGGCCACTCATACACTCGACAAGATAGGTCTCAAGTGCTATGTCATTTCTCGCACCCAGGATTAGTCGTCTAAATATCTTGTCAGCAAGTAGTCAAGGGAGCCTGATCTGAGGCAACTAACTTGAAGAAACTAGTCTGGTCAAGCATTGGCGAACTTATCTCTGCGAGAGCGAAATTATGCAACCGAAGGCGAGGAAAACGAGGGGATGAGACATTCTGCGACAGTTGACGAGAGGGCTGGGCGAAATGTAACTTGGCTTGTGGTTAGAGATTCCGAGCCGAGCAGTCTAAGCCTCCTTCACCGGACCTAGCGATTCAGGCCGCAAACCTCAAGGTTCGAGAGCGATTGGCCAATGAGGCCTCCCAAACTGCTCCCTGGTTTGGGCGTGCGTTCGTGCTGCATCATCCATTCACTAAGCACTTGTCCTTCACTATAGCAACGTTGTGCTATCCGATGTGCTAAAAGTTTCACTGTACATGGCAACATCGAATGTTTCGTTGTAACCAGCTCCAAAGATCTTGCAGCAGTCGCAGCTGTGCCCCGCTGGAAAGCAGTTGAAGTGCTGGAGCCAGGTCAGCCAAACTGCCTAGGGGATTGGGCAACACGATGGGAGATCATCCGTCCCCATTGGCTCTCCCATCGCGCGGAGAGCTCCGGTTCGTGGAATCTACCTGTAGGCGCCTCCATCCTTTCTGACATCGACTCAACGACACAATTGACTAGCAGCAGTACACTCGGCAACCAGCAAGCCAATGGGCTCGAAAAGGTTCCGCCAATTTTCGCGGCGGGGCAAGGGAAAGCCGAATCTGCCACCACCATGCGACTTCAGTTGCATCGGTGTAACCATGACTTCGCTCTGACTGTACTTTGCTAAGTGTAGCTAGCTAATTCCCGTTCCTTCTGGGACTTACGAATTAATATGGGTTTGACTTAGCAATGACTGCGGCCAAGGAAAAGTCTGGCACACTGGCTACCAGGTTTTGGCTAAACTACGTGAGTGGTTCTGCTTATTAATCTGCGACAATTCCAGTTGAACCTCGACAATCAACCGTGATTCGGCGGATGGGAAACTGAGCAGATGTTCAATCCTGGACACTCACACCCATCTCATGAATTTCGCCCAGGTTCGCTTATTTGGTTGAGAGCCCAAGCGACTCGAATTTTCCAACCACCTACCCAACCCCTCCCTCCCGCTCTCCCTCCCCTATCCATCTCAAAATCCCCCTTCCCATCTCAGTTGCACACAGTCATACATTTTTTAGGCGCTTTTCCTCCACACCATCTTCCAGTATCTAAGTCGACAAGTCCCAACCTAGGCTTCCTCTTCTGACCTCTTGACACCCTCGCCAGTTCACTCCACCAGAGCCCTAGAGAGAGCGTCGAAACCTTCTCAGAGTACTACTACAACCATTGTGGTCTCATTCGCGCGACGTCATCGTAACAATCTTTCCTTTCCTTTCACTCACAGCACTGCCATTTTCGAGCCGACTAGAAAAACCATCCGCACCACCATGAGCCATTCCTGCGTGTTCATCCCATCCACGGCGTGCAACGACCCCGCAGCTCTCACCGCGCCGCTGCTCCCCACCGCCTCTCGCGGCGGAGATAATGCGGCTGCGGCACCGGCTTCGACGGCGGAAGCAGGCGGTGGCCATCACGGGGAGAAGCGAGGGCTGAAACGGTCTCTGACTGTCGTCGATGGCGTGTGGTACGTGTCGCACTTTCAGAATAACTTCTCATTTGTACTCGATATAAGCTATACAGGCAGCGGGAATCACGGGGTAAAGCGAGGACTGAAGCTATCGCTGAATCGCGTAAATGGCGTCTCGTGCGTCTCAAACCTTATCAGTTTTTCCTCCCAACTCATATTGCATCTACCTGTACTTACAAAAACACCCCCACTCCCATCCCCCTCCCTCCCCCCCCCCCCTCTTTCTCTCTCCCCCCAAAATCCATTATGGTGGTCGGGGTAGTGGTGGGCAGCGGCATATTCGCCACGCCGGGAGTGGTGTGGTGCTAGTGGACTCCGAATGGGAGGGTGCGGTCTAATCTCTGCTTTCATCCTCCCAGGGATTGACTTCTTCCTCTTGCTGCTCCCATTCCCCTCCGTCCCAAAAATGGGGGCCCGTAAACCCATGCAACACAACCAGCATGGTGCTCGGCGTGGTGGTGGGCAGCGGCATATTCGCCATGCCTGGCGTGGCGCTCATAGATTCCGGGGGAGTGCCGATCGTCTGATGCCTGATCCTTGAGTCGACCCTTGAGTCGACCCTGATGCCAGATTCCGGGGGAGTGCCGATCGTCTGATGCCTGATCCTGCACAACTCCGCTCCCCATCACCCTCCCTTCACCACAGCATGGTTTTTGAGGCGCCTCAAAAGTCGTCTCCTTATCCGCTCCACATTACCCTCCCTTCACCACAGCATGGTGCTCGGCGTGGTGGTGGGCAGCGGAATATTCGCCACGCCAGGCGTGGTGCTCGTGGACTCCGGGGGAGTGCCGCTCTCCGCGCTCATCGTGTGGCTCTGCGCTGGCGTCGTGGCTTACTCCTGCTGCGAGGTATGCCGCAGCACGTCATAACAGCGAGGTAGGGGTTCCGAACCAGCACTGGTTGTGCCAGATCCAGTCGTGTTTTGAGTCCAGGTGCAGCGTGCTGGTGCTCGTGGACTCCGGGGGAGTGCCGCTCTCCGCGCTCACTCCTGATGCCTGGTCCTTCCCAAATGCGCCCCCCATCCCCTCTTTTCCCCGGGAGGGGTGCCGCTCTCCGCGCTCATCGTATGGCTCTGCGCCGGCGTCGTGGCTTACTCCTGCTGCGAGGTAGGGGTTCCGAACCGGCACGAGTCGTGCCAAGTGTGTTTTGAGGCCAGGCGGAGTGGTGCTCAGGTGCCGATTTCCGCGCTCGTGGTATGGCTCTGCGCTGGCGTCGTAGCTTACTCCTGATGTGAGGTGAATCTGTTATGACGTGTTGTGACGCGCTTTGAGACGTCTAATAACGCGTATATGCACTACCGTGTGGCTCTGTGCTGGGATCGTGGCGTACTCCTGCTGCGAGGTGAATAACGCGTTTTAAGACGCCTTATTACGAGATTACACACTTACCGTGTGGCTCTGCGCTCGCGCTGTTGCATATTCCTGCTGCGAGGTGAATCTGTTTTGATGTGTTGTGACGGGTTTTGAGACGTCTGATAACGCGTATAAACAGTATCGTGAGGCTCTGCGCTTGCGTCGTCGCCTATTCTATTCCTGCTGCAAGGTCTCTTCCGATTCGCAACGATTGCTGTTGATGGACTCGCTTTGTTTTCGGCCATTCCAGTACCTTCTTTCTGGTTGTGTGAAAAACAGAACACCAAATAGGTGCCATTGTGTGAAAAATATAACACCAAATAGGTGCCATTGTGTGAAAATTGAACACCAAATAGGTGCCATTGTGTGAGAAATAGAACACCAAATAGGTGCCATTCACACAGTTGCTGCCACGAATTGATACAATGGCACCTGTTTAGTATTCCAGTACTTTCTTTCTGGCTTCCGCAGTAGAAAACAATTCCTCATTTCTCCACCCTACAGGCCATTCATGCTACCTACTCCCTCTACGCGCCATACTCATGCTACCCACACCCCCTTCGGGCCATACCCATGCTACCTACCCCCTCTACGCGCCATGCTCTACCTATTCCCAGACTAGCTGGCCTATCACAGGGCCGTGATGACAGCCCACCTAAGCATGCTTCCCTGGCGTTTCCATCTGACATCCTCGTTCTGACGTGGCAGGTTTATGCTGAGCTGGGCAGCTCCATACCGCACGCAGGCGGCGACGGGGAGTACATCCAGCTGGCGTTCGGAGACCTCCTCTCGTTTGTCTTTATGTGGATGTTCTTCTTCGTCTCCACTGGGGGAGGGATTGCCATCCTTATTGTCACATTCGCCCGATACACTATAGCTTTGGTAAGCGCTTCCATATAGTCACATCCAGCAGGCGTTCGTCTCCTTTGTCTTCATTTGGGTGTTCCCCTGTGTGTCTACTGGAGGTGTCATCTCATTGCCATCCTTATAGTCACATTCGCTCTATACACGATTGCTCTGGTAAGCTCCTTTACTGTCACATCTAGCTGGCGTTCAGGGATCTCCTTTCTTTTGTCTTCATGTGGTTGCTCTTTGTCTCTACTGGGGACAGCATCGCCACCCTTATAGTCACATTCGCCCAATGCACTATCACTCTGGTGAGCTCACTTCCTCTCACATTCTTTTTAATCACATCCTTCATCGCATCCGCCTAGTCACATCCATAAACAACTTCCCTGCCCTCCTGCCCCCTTCCTTTCTCCCCTCAGCTCTCAGGCAAGCAAGGTTCAAGCGAATAGACGCGTGGTGTGAGGCGCCTCTAAGTACCCCCCTGCCTTCATGTTCTCCCTCTCATCATCTCTCTCTCATCTCTCTCATCATCTCTCTCTCATCTCTCTCTCATCTCCCTCTCATCTCTCTCTCATCTCTCTCTCATCTCTCTCTCATCTCTCTCTCATCTCCCTCTCATCTCTCTCTCATCTCTCTCTCATCTCTCTCTCATCTCTCTCTCATCTCCCTCTCATCATCTCTCTCATCTCTCTCTCATCTCTCTCTCATCTCCCTCTCATCTCTCTCTCATCTCTCTCATGTCCCTCTCATCATCTCTCTCATCTCTCTCTCATCTCTCTCTCATCTCTCTCTCATCTCTCTCTCATCTCTCTCGCGTCTCTCTCGCGCCTCCCCCCCTCTCTTCCCTTTCTCCCATCAGCTCCCCGGCATGCAGGGCGCCAGCCAGGAGCAGATGGAGCTGGGAGTGCGGATCATCGGCTGCTCCTTCACCCTGCTGCTCACCGCCATCAACTGCGCTGGTGAGCTGTCCGCCTCTCTCATACTCTCTCGCCTCGCAATCTCACTCTTCCACTGTGCTGCTCCTGCTCTCCCTCTCACACCTTGCCTGCTCCTTCACGCAGCTGCTCGCCGCCATCAACTGCACTGGTATGCCCATCCTTGTTCCCACTGATTGTGTGTGTGGTAGAGCCATCCCCTTCCCTCTCCCTCCCAAGCATCGGCTGCTCATTCACGCTCCTGCTCACCGCCATCAACTGCGCAGGTATGCTGTCCCCCCTCTCTCACTAGTTATGTGTGTGGTGGAGCCATCCCCCTCCCTCGCCCTCCCAATCGTTGCCTGCTCCTTCACGCTCCCGCTCACCGCCATCAACTGCGCTGCTCAACTGTCCCCCCTCTCTCTAACTAACCTGCTGAGCCGTCCATCCCCCCTTACTGCAGGAGTGAAGGTAGGGGCGCTGGGGCAGAACACTCTGACGGTCACCAAAGCAGCCTCCCTTGCCCCCCTCTCTCCCCCAACACACCCACCCACCCCTTTGCATTTTGAAGGCAAGGGCGTTGGGGCAGAACATTCTGACAGTTACCAAGGCGCTGCTGATCACAGCAGCGGTGGCCTGTGCTCACATCTTCATCGCACTTCACGGCACCTCCGTACCCGCTACAACCCTCCTCCTCCCCCCCCTCTCCCCTCCTCCCCCCTTTTCCCACCTCTCCCCCCCTCTCCCTCCCTCTTCCCCCTCTGAATGCAGGAGTGAAGGCAGGGGCGTTGGTGCAGAGCATCCTAACAGTTACCAAGGCTCTCCTGATTGCGGCGGTGGTGGCCTGTAGGCCCGTCTTCATCGCCCTCCACGGCACCTCTGTAGCCGCTGCGAACTTCCTCCCATCCCATCTCATCCTCCTCCCCCCATTTTCCCCCAGTCTCCCATTTGCCCTCCTCCACCTCCAGGAGTGAAGGCAGGGGCGTTGATGCAGCGCATTCTAACAGCCAAAGCCCTCCACGCGGCCAAAGCCCTTCTGATCGCAGCTGTGGAGGAGGCCTGTTCTCCCATCTTCACCATCACCCCTCGCACCTGCCCACCCCACTCCCTTTCTACAGGCGTGAAGGCAGGGGCGTTGGTGCAGAACATTCTAACAATCACCAAAGCCCTTCTGATCACAGCTGTGGCGGCCCGCGCGCCCATCTTCATCACCCTCCACGGCACCTCTGTAGCCAAACTTCCTCCTCCTGCCATCTTTCCCCTCCTGCCTTCTCTCCCTCATTATCCAGGCGTGAAGGCAGGGGCATTGGTGCAGAACATTCGAACGGTCACCAATGCCCTTCTGATCGCAGCTGTGGAGGCCTGTGCGCCGATCTTCACCATTACCCCCCACACCTGCCCACCCCACTCCCTTTCTGCAGGAGTGAAGGCAGGGGCGTTGGTGCAGAACATTCTGACAGTCACCAAAGCTCTCCTCATCGCAGCAGTCGTGGCGTGTGCTCCCATCTTCGTCGCCCTCCACGGCACATCTGTAGCTGCTACAAACTTCTCTCAGCCGCTCCCACCCATCTCGAGTTACAACTGGAGCAGGGCTGGGGCCGGCTTGGTGGCCGCTGTCTGGGCGTTTGACGGCTGGTGAGTCTGCTTATAACGCGGATAAGGATTGTGTCAGGAACTGCCTAGGCCATCTCTCAGAAGAGCTCAGAAACCCCAGGAGGGAGGCAAAAGGCACTGCGCCAATTCCTCGTCGCGTTCCATTACTCATCTCCCTCCACCCATCCCACACTACCCATCCCCCGCTACCCGTCTCCCTCCTCTCCCATCCCACACTACCCATCCCCCGCTACCCATCTCCCTCCTCCCATCCCACACTACCCATCCCACACTACCCATCCCACACTACCCATCCCCCGCTACCCGTCTCCCTCCTCCCATCCATCAGGAACTTACTGGGCTGTCTCTCAGAGGAGCTCAAGAACCCTAGGAGGGAGGTGCAAGGCCCTGCATCAATTGCTCCCCACTTTCCACTTCACACCCCTCAGGAACTGCCTGGGCTATCTATCAGAGGAGCTCAAGAACCCCAAGAAGGACCTCCCTCGCTCGCTGTCATTCGGCATGCTCACTGCCGTCGGCATCTGTGTAAGTAACTTTCCTGCTTGATTGATTCAGGAACACATTATGAATAAATTTGCTTTCACACTTCAATTTCCCCTCCAAATCTGTAGCGCTGCACCTGCATGTCTATGTGCTTGCTTCGTATCCCGCCTTCTGTGCCGATCTGCTTCTTACGCCCTCACATCTGTGTTCTCTCGCATGAACCCTGCCTGGATGGAACCGCTTGAAACCGCACGGGGCCGCATCAAACCGCATCGAACCACCACTTCATCAGCTTGCAGTCAACTCCGCCTACTTCTGCATCCTACCCCTGGCAGGTACGTTCCTGCCTACCACGAGTCCATCTCCTTGATTTTGCAGGGTGTTTTTTACAATTCTCAAAAACACCCTGCAAAATCAAATATTTCTGCATCCTGCCCCTGGCAGATACATTCCTGCCTACCACGAGTCCATCTCCTGCTTTGGGTACTTGCTTAGTAGCCACGCACATGCTTCTTCTGTACTTCTCTGCGGCTGTTTTTGAGAATTCTCGAAAACATCTCCTGCTTTGCGTGCTGTAGTAGCCACGCACATGCTCCTTCAGTACTTCTCTGCTGTTTCCATGCCCTCACCTCACGATTGTGGATCCGTGTTTTCTGCGACACCTTATGCTTCGATCCACAAACATAACACCTCATGCTTCGATCGCTCCTGCGAATTCTCAAAACACGGATTCGCAATCGTTGGAGACCCGTGTTGTGCTTTCCCGTGTCAATGCCTTGAAACGGGAAGGTTGAGGCGGCATTCGGCCCTCCCTCCGGTTGCTTCTTTGCCTTCAATCCGTAGCCCCTCCCTCCCTTCCCCACCCTTTTCACCCTCCACCAATCTCACCTCACCTGTCAGAAAGTCAGAATTGTTAGCAGTGGGGACATTATTCCCTCCCTCCGTTTCCTCGCGTTTCCTCGCGTTTCCTCGCGTTTCCTCGCGTTTCCTCGCGTTTCATCGCTTTTAGAACCATGCCCTCTACCCCGCCAAACCCTTCCCTGCCCCTTCACTCGCCTCAGCCGTGTGTGGGTAAGTCAGAGGTGGTGGCGGTAGACGCAGTCGAAGCGGTAATCCGGCCCTCCCGCTGGCCGCGTCATGGCCTTGCTCTTCTTTCTCTTCCCTACTCCTCCTCCTCTTCCCCCGAAGCGAAAGTGCTGTGTGACATTGTAACGAGGTGACTTTTGAGTCGACTCAAAAGTCCCCTCTGGCCGCGTCATGGCCTTGCTCTTCTTTCTCTTCCCTACTCCTCCTCCTCTTCCCCCCTTCCCTCGCTCCTTTACTCTTCCCCTCAGCCGTGGGCAAGTCAGAAGTGGTGGCAGTGGAAGCAATTGAACCTGTGTATTCGCCCCGCCCTCCCTCTGGCCTCTTCGTCACCCTCCTCGTTCCCCTTTGCCAACTCCCACGGCATCACCCCTTCTATAACCTCAGCCGTGGGCAAGTCAGAAGTGGTGGCCGTGGAGGCAGTCGAAGCTGTCTTCGGCCCTCCCTCTGGCCGATTCATCGCCTTCCTTGTGGCTCTTAACGTGCTCGGTGCTGCGAACGCTACTCTTTTATGCCACGCGCGCTTCTTTGTAAGTGACAAACCTAGCAGCCTTTTTTTCGCTTCGAGGGACCTGGGATCTTGGCACAATGCGTTATTAGTGAGCCGATCCACGTGGCGCTTTTTTTGCCTTCCTCGTGGCTCTGAACTTGCTCGAAGCTGCTGATGTGGCACATCTTGAGCACCTTTTAGCACTCCTTTAAACTGTCATTTGCAAGTCAATCCCTTACTGTCTACTGCACAATTACCTCATTGGTCGTCTATCGCTCGCTAATCTTCTGCCGATTGCGAAGTCTCAGTGTGTGCGAAGTTCCGAGTCAGTGCGCGCGGCTGGACAACGTCCAAATGCAGTCGTCGATAGGATGGGATGGGAAAACTCCAAGGGAATAGCGGATGGGACGCTGCTGCGTTGCGCAAAGGCCACTCGCTAGTCTTGTGACGATGGCCCGAAAATGCTTGGTCTTAGCGACTGTTGGATTGGCGAACTTTTGGCAGTTGGTTAGGCGGGAAAGTGACCGTTAGATTGGCAGATGCAAACCTCGAGATTTGGAACGACCGACTTCAAAGGGGGTAGACTTCTGGGCTCCGTAATAAGTGGACTCGTCAAACTGGATGCAGAAGTGTGCATTGCTAAGATCAGCTCACTTATAGAAACTTCTGTTGGAAGGCGTTTTCTTACGAATCAATGGTTTTATCTCCATGTCCCTCCCCACTCTCCTCCCAATCCCCTGTCCAGTATGCCTATTTTTTAGGCGCCTAAAAATAGTTTTTGAGACTATTTTTTAAGCGCCTCAAAAGAAATCCTCCCAATGCCTTGTCCAGTATGCCAGGCTAGGGACAGCCGGCTCTTCTCTTTCCCCATTGCGCTCACTTCACTTGTGCCTGGCTTTGCCTCTACCTTATCTCACCTTTTGCTCCTGCTCCCACTCTCTGCGTCAACTGCAGTATGCCAAGGCAGGGGAGGGCCAGCTCTTCTCGTTCCTCAGTGGGGTCACTTCTCCCCGACTCCTCCCCTACCCTATCGTACTCGTTCGCTCTGCAGTTTGACTGTGTTTTCGCCTTTTGACTCTCTTTATTCGTCTGCACAACCTGCAGTACGCCAAGGCAAGGGACGGCCAGCTCTTCTCGTTCCTCAGCGGAGTCACTTCTGGAGGCGCACCCTACGCCTCACTTATCGCCACTGTGAGTACTCCCCCCACCGTTCCATTCTCCTCTTCCACCGCACCAAACCCCTCCATTCTCTTTTCTTAGTGCTGTATCGTCTGGATTCACGATTTCACACACCTCTGCATGCTCCTTGTTGGCACCTCGATCGCCCTATTCCTCACTCTTCCAATCTTCCGCCTCTGAACACTTTTGAGGCGCCTCAAAAGTCGTCTCCTTGCACCCACACGTCTCCCTACTCCTCTACTATTTCCTCCCTCTCCCCCCTCTCTTCTTAGGGCGAAGCTTCACAAAATTTTATTTACTTCTATGCAATACGAAATGTACTTTTCTTTGTGCTTCATTACGACCATCCCCACGGCCTTCCTTTCACCTTCAGGGCGGATGGATAGCAGTCGTTGTCTTCGTTGCGGCAAATCATCTGGAGAAGGTATAGTACGAAACACAAATGTTTTTACAAATGTACAGGTATAGTACGAAACACAAAGGTTTTTACAAACGTACAGGTATAGTACGAAACACAAAGGTTTTTACAAATGTACAGGTATAGAAACACAAAGGTTTTTACAAATGTACAGGTATAGTACGAAACACAAAGGTTTTTACAAATGTACAGGTGTAGTACGAAACAGAGAGGTTCTTACAAATGTACAGGTATAGTGCGAAACAGAACGTTTTGTACACACACTTCCAACTCTACCGATTTCCGGAACCAGACCATAAGGTAGACCCAACAGTGAGAGGTAAACGAGCTCCTCTCTGACAACCATAGTACGAAACAGAACGTTTTTGCAAATGTACAGGTATAGGGAGAAACAGAACGTATGGGTATAGCGCGAAACAGACCGTTCTTTACGAAGGTACAGGTATAGTGTGAAACAGCACTTTTTGTGAAGGTACAGGTCAGGTGAAGGGGCAAGTGTAAGAGTGCCACTTTTGTAGAAGACAGGATATAAGTAAAACATGTTAAAGAAATATCCATGAAATGATTTGTGTTAAGACAAGTATGCTGTCTGGAAGCGTGTTTTCAAGTTATGATTTTTTTTTGTGAAGTTGCCAGGTGCTACCTTTTCCCTTTCCGAAAAACAAGTTGCATCTTCAGCCAACCATCTCCAAAACCCACCCAACCTCCTCCGTTGCTAGCACATTCTCAGTACATCGACTATTGCGGCATCGCTGCTTGGATGTTCCACAGCCTTGTGTTTGCTTACCAAATACATTCACCTGCTGACCCTGTCCCTCTGCGTTCCCTTGCCAATTCTCTGTCCCCTACTCCCTTACATTCAGTTGATTGATTATTTTGGCATCGCTGCATGGATGTTCTATGGCCTTGTGGGAGCGTCCCTCATCAAGCTCCGGTGGGACCTGCCCGACCTACCCCGCCCGTACAAGGCCAGCCTCTATCCGCTCCCCGGCATCATCGTCGTTGTAGCCTCCACGTGCGTCACCCTCTTACAACAATACCCTCTTGCAATATCACCCTCTTACAATATCACCCTCTTACAATATCACCCTCTTACAACATCACCCTCATACCCTTTGAGCCGACTCGAGATTCCCTCATCAAGCTCCGGTGGGACCTGCCCGACCTACCCCGCCCAAACAAGCCCATCCTCTATCCTCTTCCCGGCATCATCGTCATTGTTGCGTCCACGTGCTACCCATGCCTCAAGATACCCTCACGCAAGCATACCCACACGCAAGCACACCCACACGCAAGCACACCCACACGCAAGCGTACCCACACGCAAGCACACCCACACGCAAGCACACCCACACGCAAGCGTACCCACACGCAAGCATACCCACACGCAAGCGTACCCACACGCAAGCGTACCCACACGCAAGCATACCCACACGCAAGCATACCCACACGCAAGCGTATTCTCATACAATCATGCCCTCATACAATCATGCCCTCGTATAATCATACCCTCATACAATCATACCCCCATACAATCATACCCTCATACAATCATACCCCCATACAATCATACCCTCCCATACCATCGTACCCTCCCATACCATCACACCCCGCCCCCAGTCCATCCCCTCCTATGCTTCCCATACCCCTCACGCACCACCTACAAATTCCTCTCTTCACTCACCATCTATAGCTCCTTTTTTTCACTCCTCGTTGCTCACCAACAGGTACCTTGTCATCTCGTCCCTCCCCACCACTCAGCTGAAGTGGTCCTATGCTTCCCTTACCCCTCACTCACACTCACCGCCCACACCTTCCACTTCTTTCGTTCACGCCTCCATACTTGGACCCCTCCAATCGCCAACAGGTACCTTGTCATCTCGCCCCTAGTCACCCAGCTCATCCCGTCCCGTGCTTCCCATATCCCTCACTCACCACCTGCACTTCTCCTCCACTTTCCCCTTTCTTTGGTTCCTCCCAATCACTAACAGGTACCTTGTCATCTCATCCCTCGTCACCCAGCTCGTTCCGTCTCTTCTGTCCCTCGCCTTTGTTTTCGCGGCGCTGCCCGTTTACTTCGCCATTCGTTGCATGAGGTCTACAGCTTGCTGTGCTGCCTCGTGCACCAAAACTGCCTCAACAGTTCACATAATTCCTGAGACTGATGCGAGGAAACCTTTGCTTTCATGAGCATCGACCCTTTTCATCTATTGTGAATTTGTCTTCACTGCAATGCCATTTATCCCCTTCATGGTTTAGCACAGATGTGTAATCCAATGCATGGTTCAATGTGAAGTGTCACCACAATGTACAACTATGTATTGAACATTATATTTATAAATAATATTATATTATGTTAGGACTTCTTATTTCCATGCTAGGTTACGCAGCACAATTGTATAATGCACATATTGTGACTCGACTTTCAGAGGAGTGTGCAGTGCAGTCGTCATAGTTCATATCTCAATGATACAGCACCCTCATAGTGAGTAGTACATGGATGTACTAGGAAAGTGGGAGCAATCAAAGAATAGAAATGAGAATGAGACTAGGTGGCAGGTTCATCAGACCTGCGAGAATGTGAAGAAGCTTGTCTCCTTTACAGCAAAACTCCTTTCCAAATCGAATCACAATCTGTATTTTTTGTTACTAATTATTCATATTTTTTTTTAAAACATTTTCCCGAATGTTAGTACCAGGGTTGACGTTTCAAAAAAAGGCACTCTGAGCCAACCCAAAAAAAAAAAAAAAAAGGGTATGAAGTGTTAACGTAGAAACGAATGATTACTAGAGGTGGAAACCTAGAACAAATACTAGTTGGTTGTGCTCACTAGAAGCATACCTCAGTCTAGCCTATAACTTCTACATAGATAATATGTATAAGTTGACACACCCCCTAGGCTAGACAAGGGGTGAAACTAAACAAGAAGCAAACAGCTCAGGGCGGCACTACTAGTCCAACCACTGAGGCAGGGGTCTGGAGACCAGTCAGCAAGAATACAACCAAAACTGAAGCAAGCCAGGGTGGCACTACTAGTCCAGCCACTGGAGGTAAGGCCACAAGGCCAGTCTGACAAGCATATATAATAGAGAGTACACAATCAGGATCCTAACAGGGGAGCAGCTACAGGAACAAGACCAAGCTGTACACAGTGCCGCTGATGATCTTTAGGCGCAAGCGCCTTAGTAAAGATATCAGCTGTGTTGGCACCTGAGGCCAAGTGAACTACGCGGGCCTGGCGGCGCTGCTGTAGCTCGCGCAGGAGGAAGTACCGCAGCTGGATATGCTTCGCTCTGCCCTCAAGCCGAGGCTCCTGACACAGGAGTATCATGGCCCTGTTGTCAGCGTACAGGACCGGGGCAGAGCTAGGCCGCTCACCTAAGTCTATGAGCAAGAAGGTCAGCCAGCGGAGCTCCTGTGCCGCCATGGCACCAGCGTAGATCTCAGCCTCACAGACGACGAGCGAGTGGATCTCCAAGAGATAGCACCCGAACCAAGGCTGAAACAGTAGCCCTGCGACGACCTGAGCGTCTCAGCGTCGTCTGCCCAAGAAGCGTCTGTGTGCCCAGTAAGGACCACTGGCCTGCGTCCTCCTAGCACTAACCCCATGCCTGATGTACTAGCAAGATAACGCAAAACCCTCTTAGCGGCAGACCAGTGCTGAGGTCGGTTTCTGCCTGTAGCCACAAAGCGAGCCAGGATGCTGAGAGGGTATGCGAGATCTGGGCGAGTGCAAGTCATCAGGTACATGAGGCAACCCACCAGCTCTGCGTAGGGGCCACTGGGCTCTACTGGCTCCTCAGGAACGGGAGCAGAGAGCCCATGGTCTACGGGTAGAGGTGTGGGCTGTGCAGAGGAGAACTGAAGACCGAACCTCTGAAGGACCTGACGCACCAAGTGTGACTGGGTCAGAGTGATGGTGCGTGCTGCTCTGTCCCTAGAGATCTCCAGGCCAAGATAGCGACGCAGCTCTCCAAGGTCAGTGCAGGTGTGTCTCTTCAGCAGCTCAGCCTTCACAGAGGCCAGTGCGTCCCTGTCAGGAGTAGCGAAGACCAGGTCGTCTACGTAGACAAGGATGTAGAACGGAGTCTGGCCGGAACGCACAAACAGTGAAGGGTCAGCAGAGGACGGAAAGAACTGCAGGTCTGCTAACGTGGCACGTAGCGTGTCGTGCCACTCGCGGGGAGCCTGACGCAGGCCGTAGACCGGGCGCCTGAGAAGCCACTGGGTCCCAGAAGGGAAGGTACCAGTGAAGCCCTGTGGTCGGCGCAGGTAGACCTGCTCGTGTAGGCTGCCCTGAAGAAAGGCAGTAGAGAAGTCGAGGGAGTGAAGCTCGTAGTCACGCTGTGCTGCTACGTGTAGCAGCGCCCGAAGAGTGGTCATCTTCGGGGTCGGGGCGAAGGTCTGGAAGAAGTCCACCCCCTCGCGCTGACTGAAACCTCTGGCCACGTAGCGCGCCTTGAAGACAGGCGGCTCTCCAGGGGGGCGCTTCACCTTGAAGAGCCACCGACCATCGACTACGTTCACCCCAGGCGGGGGAACTGCGTCGACGTAAGTGCCGGTGGACCTCCAAGATGCCATCTCCTGCTCCATGGCAGCTATCCACTGAGAGGCCCAAGGTCCCGAGGTGGCCTCAGCGTAGGTGCGAGGGGTCGGGATGTCGAAGGCGTCTGGGTCACCCTCAGGGACTAACAGCATGGAGCAGAGATGGGGAGCAGCCTCGGAAAGGAAAGCCAGCTCGTACTGCCTGTCCTCTAGGACGTCACTGCCAAGGGCAGGAGCACCCCCGACGGACGGAGGACGGGCAGGGTCAGAGACCAGAGCGGTAGCGTAGTCAAGGCGGCGGGTAGAAGCGAAGTCAGCGACAGCAGCGCCAAGCGCGTCAAGGCGCGAGACAGGAACAGTAGGGTCGGTAACAAGAGAGGCAAGGACCCGAGGGACAAGGGGACGAGCAGAACGGAGGTAGTCAGAGAACGGAGGAGGTGCAACAGCAAGGGACGAGGGAGGAGGGGACGGGAGGAGGGGAGGACGAGACGAGTGGGAACGGAGCAACATAGGGTGGGTGGGCAGGACAGGAGAGACGGGACGAGCACGGGAGGGACGGCGAGCCCAAACGTGAGACGGAGGGGTAGGGTCAGGGGACAGCGGAGGAGACACAGGAGGGGAACGAGGAGGAAGACAGGCCGGAGACGAGTCTGGCGGCGGGAACACAGGACCGTAGACAGGAAGGTCAGGAGGCGGTGGGGGAGACACCGGCGCGCGGTCCGGGGAGGGAAGGCCGGAGCAGGCGGAGAGCGGAAACCGACGGCGACGGCTGCTGCGGCGGCAACGACGGCTGGGCCGGAACTCTCGGACCAGCAGAGGCAGAACGACCGTCGGCAGAACACTCAACAGCAGCACCCCCAGAACCAACACCCCCAGAGCGAGAACCCCCTCCAACACCAGCGGCACCCCCAGAAGCTGCAGGACGAACACCCTCCTCCACACCAGCACCCCCAGGGGCCGAGAGCAGCGGCGGCAGTGGCGGCAACGGCTGCGGCGGCGGCGACAGCGGCGACGGCTGCGGCAGCGACAGCGGCGGCGGCGGCGACGACAGCGGCGACGGCTGCGGCGGCGACGGCGGCAGCAGCGGGGTCGGCGACTGCGACAGTGGGGGCGGAGGCACCGGGGAAGGGGGACGCGGCAAGGACGGACCGGGGGTACCACCAGAGTCAGCAGACTCCTCAACGGGGACAACCGACGGGAGGGGAGTGACGTGGGAGACACCAGACGGGGCAGAACGAGGCGGGAGAGGGGCAGGGGCTACCGGGGGAGAGGGAGCAAGGAAAAGGGGGGGGGCAACTGGGAGACCTCGGTGAGGGAAGCGGCGGTAGAAGGAGACGGACTCGTCAAAGGTGACGTCACGAGAGTGGAGGAAGCGGTGAGACGGCGGGTGGTAGAAAAGCCAGTCAGACGAGTCCAGGGGGAAACCGAGGAAGACACAGGGGACAGTGCGGGCAGTGAGCTTGTCCGTGCCAGAGGCACGAACGTGAGCAAGGCAGCCCCAGACGTGGAACGCAGACGCGTCACCGGGGGACCCGGTCCAAAGGAGGGTCGGCGAAACCTGCGGCCGCTGGGAGCGTGGCCACAGGTTAAGCTGGTGAGCCGCGTAGCGAACAGCGAACGGCCACAGAAAATGGGGGGCATCGGCATGGATCATGGAGGTACGGGCGACCTCCATGACCAAGCCGATGCGGCGCTCAGCAACCCCATTCTGCTGTGGCGAGTCCGGCAACGTGTACGACTGGGTGATGCCCTCCGCACGACAGAACTGTCCAAGCCGACCAGAGGCGAACTCGCCGCCACGGTCGGAGTGGGGACACAACACGGGGAGACCGCGGTGGAGACGCGCAGCCACAACCCACGGGAGAAGAACGTCGGGCACGTCGGCCTTCCGCTCCAGGGGAAACACCGTGGTGTAGCGCGTGTAGTCGTCGACGAGCACAAGGAAGTAGCGCTCACCGCGCGGTCCGGGGACGGGGGCAGGGCCCCAAACGTCCAAGTGCAGGGTCTGAAGGGGGGCAGTAGCAGGACGCAGCGAGGAGGAGTGAGGAGCACGGCGGAGCCGACCCTCGACGCAAGGCGTGCACGGTGGCGCAGTCGAGGGAGGAAGGGCAGGGAGCGACGCGGGGAGACCTAAGACAAGACCGTGCTGGGACATGTGACGCAGACGCGGGAGAGCAGGGTGACCTATGCGGTGGTGCCAGAGAAGGGAGGGGTGAGTGAGGGACCGACACGAGCAAGCTGCAGCGACCTGGGAGGACGCACCAACCGGGGGGGAAGCGGTGTGTAGGGTAAACAGACCGGACACCGGGTCCCGGGGGAACGTCGCAAGGGGGGAACCTGAGACAGCCTCAGAACAGACAGCGAACCGCTCGTGCCCGGGGAACGTGGTGGTGACGCCGAGGTCCTGGAGACAGCCGACACCAACCAGGTTCCTGGAGAACGAGGGAACGTGGAGGCCAGTAAGGGAGCCCGAGGGAACTGCCGGACAAGGAAGGGACGTAGAACTGCGCACGACGACCGGACCCGCAGAGGGGTCAGCGAGAGAGACAACAGCAGGTGCAGCAAGCGGCGTGAGCGTGGAACGGTCGCGGAAGAAGCAGGCAGAAGCACCAGAGTCGAGAGTGAAGGACAGCGACGCAGTGGCGGAGGCCGGGGACGGAGCCGGTGCAGCGACTAGACTAGGCAACCTAGGCAGTCCTACGCCTGTCGCAGCAGGGGAAGCTAAGCTACACAAGGGTGAAACACCTAAACTAGAGTACACAGGGTAGTAAGATACAGCAACACTAGAAGCGTCAGCATACAAAGCATGCAAAGCAGCACCTATCTGATCCATGTCTAACTCAAAGATCGGCACGCCCTGGCGGAGTAGGCTGTGCCAGTCAGGGAGGTCCGGGGCCGGGCCAAAGCGACGACGAAAAAGATCGTCGAGGCGGCGGAAACAGCGGGCGGTCGGGTGCGGGCGGCGGCACAGAGTGCCGCGGAGAGGCCCGGTCTGAAGCTGGTACTGGCAGGTCACAGCACTGGAGCCGCTGGTAGACGCCAAGCTGCGCGGGCCGCCACCACGGCCACCGCCTCCGGAGGTGCCGGGCCAACCAGGCGGGAGACGAGCCCACGGCTGCGGCGGGTGCTGCTGGGACGGCGGCTGCGGCTGGGGCTGGTCCTGCTGCTGCTGGGGCTGCTGCTCCTGCCCACCGGTGGTAGTCCCTCAGGCGGACTACCGTCACCACCACCACGACCACTACCACCTGCGTCACCACCCCTACCTCCCTGGCGGCCACGGCCACCGCGACGCGAGCGCTGCTGCGGGTGGACAGCAGCAGCCGTCTCGGTAAGAGGGGTCGCCGTGGCGACCGCAGCCGAAACGTCAGTGAACGTGCACTGGGATGGGCACAGCCGTGAAAGATAGAGACTGCCGGCGCACCGCTCGACTGAGCGATAGTGCGCTGGCGAGTCTCGATCTCAGTGAGGGTGTCGACAAAGGCGGTCAGGGTGAGGTCACCCGGGTGCTGGCTAAGAAAGTGGTCGCGAGCACTAGCGAGGCGGTCTGGCAGGCGCATAGCGATAAAATAGAGCGTCATGCAGAAAGGAGGGGGGAGCGCAGTGAGCTGAGCAGCAGTGCTGGCAGTGCGATAGCGAGTCTCTAGGGCACGCAAATGAGTGGCAAAGTCTGCGACAGTAGGGAAGGCAGCCAGGTCTGGGAACAGCATCGGAAAGAGCAAGCGGCCAGCAGAAGCGGAGGCAGGGGTGGAAATAGCGAGCAATAACGGCGTCTAAATAAGCTTTGGCCGTTTCAACAGTAGCAAAGCGCGAGCGCTCAGACACAGGGAGGGCGTGACTAATAGCAACCTGAGCTACTGCATCGCGTGAGTCCCAGACCGCACAGGCCAGCGCAGCAGTAGAGAAAGCCTCACGGTCATCAGAGGAGGGTCAGCAGGGAGGGGAGTAGGTGCAGGGGGACGGGGGAGCAAGCCATCAGCATGGACAACCAGAGAGTGGCCATCCTGGCGCTGACCTGTAAGCTGGCGGCGGAGATCGGAGAGCCAGGCGGCGAAGTCAACGGCGTGGCCCTCAGCGTCCAGGCGGAGCACAAAGTCAGCCATCGTGCAGGGTCAGCGGCACAGCTCCTCAGCGACACAGCGGCACAGCAGCACAGCTCCTCAGCGGCACAGGAGCACAGCGGCGCGGGGACACAGCGGCAGCACTCTCCAGTAGGGCAGCAGCTAGGCGTCCCAGCGCAGGCGAGCAGAAGACACAGGGCCCGAGAGGACACGGCAGGCCGAGCAGGGAGGCGCGACGGGCGGAAGCGGTAGGCGGGGGGATCCTAACCTAAGCGTGATACCATGTTAACGTAGAAACGAATGATTACTAGAGGTGGAAACCTAGAACAAATACTAGTTGGTTGTACTCACTAGAAGCATACCTCAGTCTAGCCTATAACTTCTACATAGATAATATGTATAAGTTGACATGAAGGGCCTTCAGCCGAAATTTTTGTAGTCTGAAATGTCAGGGTCCAGAACTCAGCGAGTCTGATTTTTTCAGGGTCCAGGACGTACAACCAGAGTCACCCACAGGAAACACCCCCACAGCGAGAAACATCCCTCCCTCCTACACCTCCCAAAAAATCGGCTAAGTCTCTTGCAGCCATTAAAAATCCTCCCACAGCCCGCGCCCCCCCCAACCAGCAACCTTGTCAGACCCTCGTTTTGCGTAGTTGTTAAATGTGGGAAACGGGGAAGTCATTCATAAGAACCGAGGGGTTAAAATCGCACTGCCACGGAAATCGAAACTGAGGAGAGGGGGAATCGAAACTGACGGAGAAATGGGGAGGGAATCAAAATGGAGGGGAGGGGGGAAGCGAAACGGAGGGGAGGGGGGGGAAGAGGGGGGGGGCGGTCGAAACGGAGAGGATGGGGGAAGCGAAACGGGAGGGGAAGGGGGAAGTGATCGAAACGGAGGGAGGGGGAAGCGAAAAATGGAGGGGAAGGGGGGAATCGAAATGGCAGGAGGGGGAAGCTGGGGAATAGGACGGTGGGAGAAATTTCGCGCCTTGCAGCGCCCCCGTTTGGGAAATCTTGGACGTTAATCACTACATAACATCGAACGATTGATATATGTCGAAATGATCGCAAACGATCGTGACCGTTACATTTTGTTAGACTTTCAGTTGACCAAACGGGCAACTGGCGGAGAATTCCCCTATGTTAAAAATGCGGAATTTACTCTCATTCCAATGCAGTAAAAAAAATGTGAAAGTCTCATTCAAAACTTCTGGGTTGTTCCAGGTGTTAGGGAGGACTGTATCTGACAACATGACTTAGTCGTAATTTAGGGTGGGTTGTGGGTGTGTGGGGGATGTCTCTAGCGTTCCGGGACTTCGCCGAAATTTTAGATGGGTTGTGGGGTGTGGGTGTGGGTGTGGGGTGTGGGTGGGGGTTGTCTCTAGGGTTTGGGGACTTAGCCGAAAATTTTTAGGGGTTGTGGGGTGTGTGGGGCATGTCTCTAGCGATTGGGGACTTCACCAAATTTTTCGAAGGTTGGTTCTGTACAGGTAATGAGTCAGGGTCTGTACCGCTGTGCTCTGAAAACTCAGTACTGGGTTAGCGACAAACTCTGATTTTCTCAGGATCCCTAGAATCGTACTCTGAAGGGATCAGGATTGGAAAAATGCCTTATCTGGAAATTCAGGTTTGGCAAAAAAAAACAGGTCTGAGATTTCAGACTAATCAAAGTAAATAGTCTGATAAAGTCACCCTGGTTAGTACTCTTAGAAACTTAGGACTAAAGGTTCTTAAACTTAGGAGGCTAGGTTGGCTAGGATACTAGGAAGAAGACCGCCATGGAATGGCGTGAGGAAAAACGTGTTGAGTGACCCGCTGGGGTTGCCCTTGAGATCCTCGGGGAAGGGCCACAGGTGCAGAGCCTGGGGGCTATGGCGCACTTACCCGCTATTCAACAAGCCCTTTTAACCCAGTGGTTAGTGACTGGGTTTCTGACATGGTATCAGAGCCAAAGGTCTTGGGTTCAACTCCCAGTGCCAGCGCTGCAGAGGCGCTCGTGTCTTCCACCTAACCCAGCGGGGGGGGGGGTGTGAGTGACCCGCTGGGGTTGCCCTTGAGATCCTCGGGAAGGGCCACAGGTGCAGAGCCTGGGGCTATGGGCGCACTTACCCGCTATTCAACAAGCCCTTTTAACCCAGTGGTTAGTGACTGGGTTTCTGACAAAACGGATCTAGGAGGTTGAGAGGATGTCGAGAAGAAAGGTAGTTGGATTTAGGAAGAGAGGGGAGTACAAGGAGGGGTTTGTACCCCCTACAGAAAGGTTCAGTAACAACCTACCAAGCCTATATTAAATTATAACTTATATAATTTTAACACACCCCTAGGCTTGGTAGTGTCAAGCCCACGCACACCCCACACCCACACCCACACCCCTAGCCCAGCACCCATTCCCAGCAGGAGCCGCAACGACTCCGGAAGAGGGTAGTCTCACGCCCCTTGAGACGGCAATGGCGGCAGCAGCGACAGTGACGACGGCGACGGCGGCGGCGGTGTGCGGCGGCTCCAGGCCTGCGGCAACAGCGGCGGCGCCGGCGGCTCGAACGACAGAGGCTGGTGCGGCGGCCCCCGCCCTCTCGGCGGCATGTCCTGTCTCCTCGGCGGTGGAGAGGTCCCTCACATGGCAGTCATCGGCTGCAGCAAGAAAGGGGGGATGCAGGGGAAGCAGGTGCAGGGGGGGGGGAGGGGAGGGGGCGGGGCGAGGCGAGTCTTCAGCGACGCGCCATAAGTGGCGCGGCGCTTACTGGCAGGAGGGCGGGCAGGTGGCGGTTACGACGGCGTGCTGCCCGCTGCCGCCCATCCACGTGCCCGGCAGCATGACGACGCCGCCAGGGCGCGGCGTCGACGCTGTGGCGGCACGCCGACGCTGCAACGGCAGCAAGGTGACGCTGCCACGGCAAAGCGTCGACGCAACCGGCTGCGGCCCGACGGCGCCGTCGACGCTGCAGCAGGACGTCGACGTCGCGACGGCAGAGGCAGCGTCGATGCCGCAGCGGGACGTCGACGCTGCGACTGCAGAACGACGGTCCGACGCCACGGCAGCGCGTCGAGCCGGTCGCGGCACGACGCGCCAGTGGCAGCGCGACGTCGCCACTGCAGCAAACGCGGCCGCCATGGCCGCTCGAGCTAATGAGAGTGAGGAGTAAATTGCGGAAGCGTGAGGAGGCGATCCAACAGGAGGATCTCCTGCTCTGATACCATCTTAGAAACTTAGGACTAAAGGTTCTTAAACTTAGGAGGCTAGGTTGGCTAGGATACTAGGAAGAAGACCGCCATGGAATGGCGTGAGGAAAAACGGATCTAGGAGGTGAGAGGATGTCGAGAAGAAAGGTTGTTGGATTAGGAAGAGGGGGAGTACAAGGAGGGTTTGTACCCCCTACAGAAAGGTTCAGTAACAACCTACCAAGCCTATATTAAATTATAACTTATATATTTTTAAACAAGTACCTCCATCTTCTCACCATCCCAAGTACATGAAAGACTA